TATATTATAGCTATTATATAGTTAGATAAGTCTTTAGGTTTATTTATTTTAAATAGTTAATTCTTAACTTTATCTTTAAGTTTATTATAAAATATAGTCTTAAGAGGGTTATTATTCTAGTCTAATTATATAGTAATTTCTCTAAATCTAACTATATAACTAGAGGCTAGTTCTATCTAATATAAGTCTTTAAGTTTCTTAATAGCTTATTATTCCTTATCTATTATACTAAATACTAAGATAAGGGTAATTAAGAAGTTATTATAACTAGTAAGAATATTAATAGTTTCTTAATCTTATTTATTTAGTTTCTTTTTATAGTTATACTAATTCTTAAGGTAAGTTTTAAACTATTATTCTATAGTACTATTAAAATATATTTCTATAAACCTAATCTTATTTTCTTTATCTTTAAGCTTTATTAGAAAGAATTTAAAATATACTTAAAGCTTAATTTTAAACCTATTTAGTTTATTAGTATCTTCTAAGAAGGGGTCTAAAGGAGTTAGTTAAAGTATTTCTCCCTAGTTTTTAATATTCTTCTTTTTAAATTATCTAACTTATATTATAAGTTATATAATAATTTATTTAGTAGTTAGCTCTTTCTTCTTCAGGGTATTATTAGGTTTAGTAGGAGTTATCTTTATTTTCTTTATTATTATATAGTAATTAAGATAAGGTAATTAGCTGAATAAGAGTTATTAATATATAATAGTTAGGTAATTTATACTAGACCTGGTCTAGGGTAAGTTAGGATTAAACTAATTAGAGTATTATTCTAAGTAGTATAATTAGGTTATTATAGACTATATAATATAAGTTACTATTAATATATAAGTATTATAGAATTAGTAATAATAGATATATAGATAATATTACTAAGAGATTATAACTTTATTAATAACTATTTAAAAGAGTATTCTAACTAATAAAATAAATATATATATATACTGAAGTTATTACTTACTTATTACTTATCTATTATTCTGCTTAAGTAATAAGTTATAGTTTATTAGTTATAGTCTCTATAAGGCTCTATACTATATATAACTTTATATAGTCTGACAGAGGCCTTTATTTATAATATTAAGGAGGAGGATATCTAGATATTTTTTTAATAGCTTAAGTCTAGCTATTAGGGAGATTATAAGGGATATTAGCTGGTTCTAAGGGTTATAGTAGTTATAAAAAATAAAGCTATTCTTATTAAGATAGTAATAGAAATACTAAAGAGATAAGAGCCTATTAAGCTATTTTTTATAATAGTAAGTAATAATATTAGATATATCTTAAAGGAAGATATTAGTTATAATCTAGCTAATAGCTCTTATCTTTTTAATCTACTAATTAATATAGATAGTAATTTATATTAGTAATAATCCAGCTTTATATATTATAATAATCTAATCTTTAAACTATAAAATAATCTTATTATAAAAGCTTAAAAAAAAAAAGATATCTTTAAATATATAGTTATATATAGTATTTTTAGCTAGTTAGATAATAAAGAAGTTATTAACTATAGCCTTAATCTATAACTTAAAAAGGTAGGAAGTTTTTTATAAATTTATATACTACTACTTTAAGGGATAAATCTTTAGATTATAATAATTATTATATACCCTAACCTTATAGTAGCTTAAGATATAGCTATAAATATATCTATCCTTATATCTCTTAGTATTATAGATAATAAGTATAAAGCTAGTAGCTTTAGTAATTTTATTATATACTAGCTTTATAGTTTCTATAGAGATAAATACTTTATTAAATAAGCTATCTATTAGTAAAAAGATATTATAAAAAGCTTTACTTTTAGTAGAGTTATTATATATTTAATAATATAGTATTATAATATATTAGTATTATTAGGTTAAAAACCCCCTTAGTAATAACCCCTGAAAAAAACAGCTATTTTAGATATAATAGCTATACCGGCTGTAATATCAGCTACCGTACTATATTTAGGTAGCTAAATAGTGGATTGTAGTGGTTGGATAGTAAAATCCTACATAAGAGCGCCGAATATTTTGGTCAGAGGCAAACAGCTGTGTGTAACGAGGCCCACCAAGACTTCCATGGGAAGTCCCATAGTACCGCTGCTGTGACCATTGTGGCGAAGTTTGACCATTAAGGCGATCTTCACAGCGCAGCACCACGCAAGTCCAGCCGTGAAGAGCATATTTTTCATGACCGGCTTGGGCTTCTTCGGTCTTAATAAGCCAAACGATAGTGTCGTGGCGCAGACATAGAAGAACGAATCCTGGATTCTCAGAGCCGGAATTATTGCCAAAATCCGGGGGTACAATTCCGCGTGAGTAGCGAGATGTGAGCTGTCGGAGGAATCGTTTGGCAGAGGTACCCCTTTGTCACAGCTCTCGTGGCAAGCAAGTTTTGGGTAAGATATTCCTCGTAGCCCGCAGGAAATCCCTTAATTTGGATGAGCAGATGGCCGATCGCGATGATGGGATATGCCATCAGTGCAACAAATTCGATTGAAAGCCCAAAGAGACGGGACTTTTCGTCCCGCTTCGTAGTGAGGGAATTAAATATGCAAGACGCTATGCTCAAGTACCAGCAGGCCAAAGCACCAGGGCCATAAAACCCGGACACAAGGGTGTAATAGTCTGGTGCTCCGTCTTGTGCCATGTCGGTGGGCGGCAGTCGAGAATTTGGAGGCAATGAGGTGTAAAGATTTCCTCCTCGGAAGTGAGTAAGTAGCTGTTATCCAAAGAATGCATCCATAGACGCCAGTCAGCCTTGCTGTTGGAACTTAGGTGGTTACATAAGATTCTGCCTTGAGCGCCACAACTGCCAACGGTAAGGGTAAATGCAGCTCTATGCCCAGCTGATGAAGATTTCCTGGGAAATAAAAATAATTGAATTTATTAGAAAGAACATCTGTTGTATATACAGAGCCCACGGAACAGGAGAACAACCATGTTCGAGATAGTTCAGTTGGCTCTAATGCGACGAAGCCCATTTAGCAAGATCTATCCAGTCTTCCACTTTTCGGGCCTGTACGTAAATTGTTCCTGGACCCTGGACTTCAACAAAACTTGGCTTCTTTCCGCCGAGTTTGACTGGCGATAGTGAGCAGTTGGTCCAGGCCGCTAAGTGGCCAGTCTCAACAATTTGGGCCTCGCCTGGTCCGAGCTATTGATTTCATTAAATATGCACATAGACTAGCCTTTGTGTTGGAGTGCCGAAGTGGAAGAGGGATGATTGCATGCACGCAACCAAGGAGTAGAGGCATATGGAAGTGAGCATAAGATGGCTGGACTTACATCAACTCGATCAACAACACCGTACGTCCTTAACCAGAAAATACCTTTGCCAGAAAGCGTATAATGGTTGAATTCCTGTTCATGAAACATCCCGAGACTGAACTCTTTCTTGACCAGATTGCCGTTTACCCCTGCAGTGGAGGCTAGAGTCAACGATGTACGGACTGACCACTGCTCTCTGTCCGTCGCACTGTCGATAGGAAGAGCGATGATATCTCCAAGGATATCAGGACCTAGTGTCACGGTACCGGGACCGTAGAAGGTCATATATTTTGTCCACGTATCGCGACCCTCCGGCGCAAGTGAATACTTGTCTGCAGAGTCCACCTTAACACCTTTGGACATATGAATCAATGACTCTATCCGAGAGGTGAAGCGACTGTTTCCATGAAGGGAAATGGTCAAGGTGGAACTAGCATCGCGATGGTTGATGGTGTAGCTGCCGCCATCAAAGTGCCCGGCACGTTCAGATTGTCGGGCACCCTGAGATGGCCCGCCAGCTTGATACGGTGGCGGTTGAGACTTCTCCGAGTACGACATGATTGATGGACAGCTTGGGTTCTTTGTCTGGCGTATGGAGGGAGCATGGGCTCTTCTTGCCTAACTGTAGAAAAGGGAATGGCCGTCCTGTTTTCAAATGAGACAGAATCCATGGTGGATACAGGTGGCCACGCCATCAACATTGGCGAAGGGTTGGCATGCCTTGTTGTTGGCTTGGCGTCAGCGCTATGATGTGTCCTCCTCGAGTTCTTTTCTGTATCCATGCATGGCAGGACAACTCCACCGTCCATCGACAAGGGACGCGGTAAGGATTGCGCAGCGTGAGCCGATGGAGGAGTTCGCATAAAACCTTGTGCCTGTGCTTGTGAATCCTTCTTCTCCATGGCCGGTAAATGAAAGGTGGAGCTCTATCCCTTCCCCTGTGAAACCGTCTAGCCGGTTCATGCATCGTACTGTCCGGCTATCGATGGCCCCCAATTTGCCTCTATGCTTGTTTCCGTCGGTAATAGTGAGCATGGGATCACTTTGAATTTACGCTATACGCTGATACAAAAGCATGTTTTGGGAAGCAAGATCGTACACAAAAGCCATGTTTTGGTAAGAACATCGTATACAAAAGCCACCGCAAGAATCCACAATGAAAACCAATAAAAGAAACACAAGGCGACACCCGAAGTAGCTTGTAAATTTAGAGTCGATGTTAAATCCGGTGGCATTACCGAAAGACGCTCCCCCTCCCATGTTGAACGTTGCTTGGCTCTTCGCCAGGACCAATCGTATGCAGTTGTGAAGATGCCCGAGCTAACCGTACAACCCCAGTCATCAAGACTCCAGGCAACAGGAAGCGAAGGGCGAGATTGGTTGACTGGTGATCATAGTAAAAGCTACCAGGCAGGGGGAAATGAACTGACAGACAGGTGACTTTGATAGACCACCCTGAACCCATGTTGGATACAAGAAAGCCCTTGTAAGACACCCATGTGTCCCCAGATTGAATTCCCTCGCACTCCCACCACTGATGTTCCGACAATAACTAAAATGGGGAGAGAGAAATGGTGCGAGAGATATCCATTACTTTAGCTGCTAGGCTTGGCCAAGTCAATAATCAGAAAACCAGGATCTTACAGGAATCATTCACGCCATTCATGCCATTCATGCCATTTGAAGAAAAATTATCTCTATTCGAATAAAAAACTTCTAAACTCTAAATCCTTAATAGTACAGCTCCCTAACAAGGTCCTCAAAGGCACGCCTCTCGAGCTCCTCCAAACCGCGCTTACCCTCACCGCCACCACCCATGGACTTGATGGCGTTCTTGATGGTGCCGTATGTCGTAGCGATAGTATAAGCGGCATCTAATCCATTACCAATGTTCTCGCCGATGTTGGGGCTGATTCGGGCGCGCTCCTCCAGAGCACGTTCCTCGAGGTAATCCTCGAAGTCACGCTCGTAGAGGTAATCGTCAAAATCACGCTCCTCAAGGAAATCGTCAAAGTCGCGCTCCTCGAGGTAGTCATCGAAATCACGCTCATCAAGGTAATCCTCGTAATCACGGGCTTCGAGCTCTTCCTCGTAGTAGTCACGCTCCTCAAGTTCCTCCTCGAAGTCACGCTCCTCGAGGTCTTCCTCAAAGTCACGCTCTTCGACTTCCTCCTCCACTGCACGCTCCTCATTGTCACGTTCAGACATGACAATGCCGGCGATGGCGTTGCCCAGGTTCAGAGCCTTGAATGAGTTGTTGAACAGGTTCTTGTGGAACGCTCGCTTGGCAACTGACTCGGTTTCGCGAGCGGCAAGATCAGCATCGTTGCCACTACTGCGAATGGGAAGAGCGACTGCGGTCTCAGCAATGCTGAGGGCGACAGCGGCGGTGAGAGAAAGCTGCTTGAATGAAACCATTTTGAAAGATTGATGAGATTATTAATGGAAGTATAAAAAGGATTAGAGAATGAAGATGTTCGGAAAGATAAAAATTCGACAAAAAAGAGCTATTGGCCAGCAATAAAAAATTATTTAATAAAAGGGTGAAAAAGAAGCGAAAGAGACCAGCTCTAGATGTTGAAAGATTGTTTTTTATGGTTTTTGTGATGAATGAGAAGAAGGAAAGACGACTTAGCCAGAGGAATACTCTCCCTTTATACACATTTCCGATGCCTCTTCTCGAGAGCCCAACGCCTTCGATTATTCTTATCGTTCTATTTCGAGACTGGTCTCTTGAGCCAAGGATGAGCTTCCCTCGCCGTTGGGACCGTGGGAAGGCCAGGGGATCTAGTCCGACCACCCCATGGTCCGACCCTGTAAATAGTAGTTAACTAAGCGGAAATTTCTGTTCATGAATGTTTATGCACAAAACAGAATATTCGCGCATAATTTTACAGGCAGTCCCCAGGAGTTGCGCGAGTGGTCCCCCTCCCCTCCCCCGCGACCCGCGAACTCGCAAATCATATTTATCTCTCTATATGCTATGTATAGATAGACATAGGCCGGTCGTCATGTTTTTAGTAGTTTGCGAGGGCATGACCACTAGTCTGGCCGGAGCCTGGCTGGCAGGGGTAAAGATGACTGCCAAGATTTAGGGACTTTGACGACGGGAAGTGTGAATGTGAGCATCGGGACATCCCTCCTCTAAAGGTCATGGCCGGGCCACGTCGACCTTTACTTAGTAGAGTTTTCGGAGACGTTGATGCTTGTGTCCAGTCTAGTTAATCTGGATAGTTGTTCTCTGTGCCTGGGACTTCTACCGCTATCCGTGTGGAAGAAAAGATGAATCCTGTGGTGCCGCCACGCATATAGCGCGATCGGGGTGTGTCACTCTACGCTCGCGAATGGTCAACAGAAAAAAAAGCATAAACAAAAGCATGCCGGTAGTCGCACTTAGTGGGGACGTTTATGGCTGTCCACGTGCTGACGCCCTTCTTTCGCCGTAGCTGAGCGGTATAATGAGGCTAAATGAGGCTCTCTTGGCACAGCTGGGATTTGGGAACTGCCGGCATCTCGGAAGTACCGGTGGTGTCCTGAAACGCTTGGTCAATAACCAAGTGGACCGCAAGGAAATTACCAACCGCCACATCCGGGACAAGCTTGACAAGGTCGAGGTGCTTATTCAAGCGGACTGAACCGTCAAATTAGCACCTGCTGTCTTCCGTTAAGATTGGTGAGCGTGATGGACCTAGTCAGCTGTTGCGGTGAGTCCCTGTCTGTAGCCTGGATTCAATAGTCAGCGGGATCCTCGCACCATGCGAACTTTACTTCTACATTAGATTGGTAGGTATACGTAGCTCCCTGACTGCTTATTACCTAGCGGAGACACAAAATCCGGGGTGTTCAACCAATTAAACGCCTGGGAAGTTGAGAATACATGGAATTTAGCGGATGAGCCTACTAAGACAGAAGTACCAATAATCCAACGGACAACAAATCGCGACTTAGCATGAATCTGCTGGCCTCTCTGCCTAATGTGACGAAGAGCAATCAATACAGAGCTGGAAAAGCTATGTTCTATCGAGACAATGCCTCGCCGTAGACCTGACCTTACTGTCTTCCATTATTATAAGTGATCTGAATGTCATCGATGTAGCCAAGGTGCTTAGTATGTAGCCTAAAGACTACCTAGAATATATAAATAGTTGCACGATCGACCGCTAACAGCTGGGTACTTTATTTACTGGGCTCTGTGTTAAGTTGAGACTTCAGAAATAAAAAAGTTTCCCTTTGCTAGTTGGAAATGGTTAATAAATCTTTGATTCCGTTACTGCTGATTATGTGCCAGAAAGATCAGCACAGGCTTCTTACATCTGCAAAGAAGATACCAGTCAAACATATGAGCTATATCAACGAGATATACATACACTGTTCCTTGATTCTAGGGTAGAAGCCGTTATCGTGCCCTCACCTCAGCATATTGCAGGGGCCATGTCAGGTGGGCGCGCACCGGAACAGGTCCCCCACTAGGGAAAGAGCCAAGAAGATCTGTCGGTTAGGATGAGTGATCACTTTGGACCCAGGTGGGTTCATTATTTGATTATTTACTGTGTATTATGGACTGGGCTAGGATGTGATCCATTGTGATCGTTGATCCGTAGCAGCATAACACCTCGTTAGGTCCACAGCTCCTCTGGGCAGGAAACAGTCAGGTTGGGGCCAAAAGATACGATGGATCTCGTCGAGACTGCGCGTATTGAATCAAATTTGCATGTATTAAATGCAGGTATCAAAAGTACATTGCTTTGAATACTGAACAAGTTACTTTTTGCGATCCATGTAGACTGGAGGATTTTCCCCTGTAGTTGAGTGCTTACTCTATGAGGCAGGAGATTCCGCTTCACAAATATGCAAAGATGTTGCCTTGTAGCGGTCTGGGCGATCCTGGCTTTTTCTTCCATGGCTCAAACCCACTTCGCAACTCAGCCAACTAAGTCGATCTATGCAATTCGAGGGGGCAGCTAGTTAACTTGAAAATTAGGTTGAATTTGGTTGATGCTGACAATGCTAGTCTGTTGTATCTGACGGGCTGAGTTCTTTCTATGCTAGACCTTTTTCGTAAATGCACATCTTCGGTATAACGTAGCCATAATAGTTTGTCAGTGACCTGATTAGCAGAACTTGAAATTTTGAACCCTTCCATTCCAGAACCCATCAATGCATGGGCACAAGCCCTGCATGCGTAGGCTCCATTGGCGCTATTCCTCGACTAGGTTTTGAGGGAATATGCTTCTCTGACGGACCAGCTGGCTACGCTCGATCAGACTTGGTTAGTGTATTCGCGTCTGGCATCACCGTGGCAGCGAGCTGGGACGTTGATCTTATGTTCAGCTGCGGTGTGGCTTTGGGGGAGGAATTCAGAGGAAAGGGTGCCCATTTTCACCTTGGGTATGTATCCACGAACTGTTTGAGGCCTGCCCTAGCTAACGAGACTTTTATGATTCAGGCCATCTTCAGGTCCCATGGGCTGCCATGCTGTTGGCGGGCGAAACTGGGAGAGTTTCAGACCTGATCCATATTTGGCTGGCGTGGCTATGAATGCCTCTGTCCTGGGCATCCAGTCCGCGGGTGTTCAAGCATGCTCTAAGCACTATATTGGGAACGAACAAGAGCTTCAGTGCACCTCGACAGTGAGTGATGATGGCACCGTTACTGAGGCCATTTCTTCAAACATCGACAACCGGACCTTACACGAGCTATATGCCTGGCCTTTTGCCAACGCTATCCATGCTGGGACCGCCGGTATTATGTGCTCCGATAATCGAGTCAATGGGCTCTACGCTTGCGAGAATTCTGCTACCTTGTCCATTCTCAAGGAGGAGCTCGACTTTCGTAGATATGTCGTGTCAGATTAGTATGCCACCCATGATACGGCCAGCTTCGCCAACGCAGGGCTTGATATCGAGATGCCAGGAAATACGAGTGCTGCGGCTGGCACTCACTATTTCGGCGACGCACTCCTCAGAATGGTGCAGAACGGAACGGTGACCACTGATCGCCTCACCGACATGGCGGAGCGGGTTCTACGACCATATTTCTTGCGGAACCAGGACGAGGACTTTCCCACTGTAGACCCTTCGAGCGGTGCCGTAAGTTCTAACCCTGGTCAATAGAACACCCCCATCAACAGAATACTTTTTCCCCTATCTATATTTATATTACCTTTATTTAATTTATATAATAGCTTTACTAATTCTTATCTAATTTAATTAATTTATATATTTTTAAAAT